AATCGCGCAGCCCTCAATGTAATGTGGACGAGAAAGATAATTATAATATTCTATAGAAATAATTTCCTATTGGTGATTCCTTTCCAGTCAAGGGATAAGTGAATCAGAATGATGAACGCTACTTGTAAATTTCTAACGAAGAAAAACATGCTTCATATAAAGGCATATATACGATACAGTCTGATCTGAATCGCGAGCACGATACAATCTGAATTCATAAATTTCGAACATGACGCGATTTGTTCTGAAGCGCGAGCACGACTTAATCTTAACTGAGAACAGGACGAGACCCCAAGCGCTAACGCGACGCGCTAAAATGTTCACGGTGCGTTCGCTAATTTTTCGTGGAAAACTTGCCGACCACTGCATAATCGCGACAAGATTAAAGCGCGGGAGTAACTAGGGTTAACTCGGCCCTTTAAAATGTGGTTTCATTATTTTAGGTCAGTGCTTGTGTGGACCTATCAATGTCATTATCGGAAGTAACAATAACACCGACTTTTTCTCTATGCATGGCTGTTGTACACCGGTTAATGTAACATCTTCAAATGTTTCTGTAATTAACAATCTCTGTTCTACTGGGATACTGAATATCGCTGCAGTTGACAATAGCACCGTTACACTCCTACAATCGTCATGTCCGAAAATGACCAATCTTTATTCCCTAGGAGCAGCTCAAGTAAACAATTTGTGCGCATCCGAACAACTTTCAATCATTGCAGCTGGTTATAGTGACATTACTCTGAAGCCAGCGTCTTCTTGTCCTTACAATGCGTTTGTTTATACTAAAAACTTAGCTCAAGTAAATAATCTATGTTCAACCGAACAGCTCTCAATAAATGCAGCTGATACTAGTACCGTTACTTTCCAACAATCATCGCCGTGTCCCAAAGTAACGAGTATCTTATCTACAAATGCAAGTGGCGTCTTCAATGTTTGTGCAGCTGAACTAATGTCGGTCACAGCAAACGATAATTCGAATGTTACTTTGAGACAATGCTCAGACAATGCCACCGTTTCTACTTCAAGTTCAGGGAACGTTTACAACCTCTGTGCCTCGGAACAACTCTATATCATTGCAGTTGATAATAGTACGGTTGCTCTGCAACAATCATCATGCACAAAAAATGTTACTATTAATCATAATAATTCAGCTCAAGTTACTAATCTGTGTGCCACCGAACAACTTTCTGTTCAAGCTAGCGGATTAGTATCACTTGCTCTTCCTTCATCGTCATGTCCGTATGTGACAAATGTTACTGGGCAACAACAAGCTCAACTGAGCAATGTTTGTGCAACCCAACTGCTATCCATCGTTATGAGTGATCTCGCAACTGTCAATATTAACCCTGCAAGCGCATGTCCAAATGCAGCTAATGTTTACACTTATAATGTATCTCAGGTTAATAATCTATGTGCATCTGACTCGTTATATATCAAAGCAGCTGACCTTAGTACTGTTACTTTACAACAATCATCTTCCTGTTCGACTGGAAGTGCGACTGTTTATACAACAAATGAAGCTAAAGTAAAAAATATATGTGCGACACAGTCATTGTACGTCAGTGCAGCTGATCTTAGTACTGTTACTTTGCCGCAGTCGTCTTCTTGTTCTTCTAATGCAAATATTAACACTATAAATGAGGCTACGGTAAATAATCTATGTGCATCGAACTCGTTGTTCATCAGTGCAGCTGATCTTAGTACTGTTACTCTGCATCCATCGTGTTCGTGTTCTTCAACAGCAAGTGTTAACACTAACGGTGTGGCTAAGGTAAATAATCTGTGTGCGACCGAACAAGTCACAATAAATGCCGCTGATGAAAGTATAGTTACTTTCAATCTATCGTCACCATGTCCGAAAGTAACGAACATTAACTGTCAAAATAGCGCTGCCGTCGTCAATGTTTGTGCAGTTGAACAATTGTCAGGCAATGCATACGGTTCCAGTAGCATCCAAGTGATCCAACAGTCCTCATGTCCTCTCGTTACCATGGTTTCTGCACACGAAGGCGGATCAATTACAAATCTGTGTGCCACGGAACTGCTGACTATCGTGACTGATGGTGGCGCTGTTGTTTCGTTACAGCCGGGCACATGTACAAAAACTGTAACAATTAATAAAAATGGAGGAGCTAACATTTATAATCTTTGTGCTTCGGAACAACTTTCTATTCAAGATAACAGTGGAACACCACTTACTCTTGTGTCATCATCATGTCCGTCTGTAGTAACTATTAATGCCCTAGCTGGACTTCCTAATGGAAATCAGTTGATTAATGTTTGTGCGACTCAACTCTTAACCATGACTATCTCTGGTCGGGTTGGTGTTGTTATTAACTCAGCATTTTGCCCGAAAATTGCTAATGTCTCCGCTTCATCAGGGGCGATAGTTCAAAACCTTTGTGCCACTGAACAAATGTCTATCAATGCTCCTGATGGAACGCAAATTTATATTGACTCATCAAAATCATGCACGTACGCGACCAGTGTTTATGCGAATAACGGTGGCACAGTTAGCAATGTCTGTGCTCTTGAACAATTGTATGTTCAGGCTCTTCAAGGTAGTAACGTTACTATGAAGCAAGGTACATGTGCCAAAAATGTGAATATTGACAATGAAGATGGTGCAAAGATTTTTAATCTATGTGCAGTTGAACAGTTGACAGTTAAGGCCACCGGGGGTGTCGTACTGAACCTTGACTCAACATCATCCTGTCCTTACAATGCAACAGTTAATTGTCAAAACGAAGCTATAATTACAAATCTGTGTGCCTCGAAACAAATGGTTATCAATGCCCTCGATGGTACAGTAGTTAATATTAGCTCAACAACCACTTGTCCAAAAGTTGCAAATATCACTACAACTATCAATGCAAGTGTCAATAATGCCTGCGCAACCGAAACAATCTATATCCAAGCTTCAAATTCATCTCAAGTTACAATGCAACGATCGTCGTCATGTCCCAATGTTGCAAATGTTCTGGGATATCTCAATGCAACTGTCTACGTTTGTGCGACACAAGCAATTAATGCGATAATAACAGGAAATACAACAGTTTACTATCAAGGACCGTTGAATAATACCCAAATATCGCAGTTTGGACTTATCTTGCCATGGTCATGAAATTTTGTGGTTGGTGTCTGTTTTAGTGTACATATCCGTTGTAGCAAAACTTTCTCTAGTATTAACTATATATGTGTATTGCAAAGATGAAAACCCCATGACCTTCCGGTCCTAAAGGGATAACAAACCATTAAACAGAGTGCAATATGAAAAATATAAAAAATATCAAGAATATGAAGAAGAATAGAAGTGAAGCTAAAAGACAGATTTGAATTAATACACTGAAGAAGCTACATTTTCTTTTTCAATTTCTCAACTTCTAAAAGGTGTGAGGAAATTCTCCGAAACTTCTAGTTTCATCTGGATGGTACTCAGGTACAGAGTCACTTAATCTATGGTTTGAAACCCATTGCAGACATCTACATAAAACATCTGTATGTTCGACGAATCGCTTTGACATTCTCAGGCATCTTATTGACTCCCTTTTCTCTTGCCATATATAACGATGCCTATTAGTAACAGATTGCTCATCTAACAAACGTCCGTCATTCGATTGTGATAGAGCATTCAAGTACTTTAGCCAGTAATTATAATAATGATCGTCTAGTGACTTTTCATCATATGTATAGGAGAAATAGAGATCTTCCCACTGTAAGCAGTGATAGACACGTTTCAGCGATGTATAGTAAAAGTGGCTGAGTGTCAAACGTTGGTAGTTGGTAAATAGCGGATAAAGAGCAAATAGCCAAGTAAAGAAGGGCATAACAAAGGTTGAGAATAATGCTATTCGTAGCGGAATGGATGTTGTGCCACTAACTCTAATAGAATTGATCATTGCAGTTTGCTGACGAATTTTCTTACACGCTTGGTTTATCATATTTCCCCATCCTAACTTCGTTGTTAACCAATAGCCAAGGTATTTGAATACTTTGACCCATTCAATCTCATTTTTCTCACATCTGATATCAGGCATTGAGTTCGGGTAATTAATTGCACGTGCTGAAAACATGCCTTTTGTACAGTTAATACTGCATAAAATTCTAATTGTTCGAAGAAGATATGTAATCTTTTTTCAAGATCTATACACTGTTGCGCAAATTTAATTCCAATTTGTCCAGCAAGTACAGCAGCTAAATCGTCGGCAAACAAAAAGGACATTGCTTCTGGGATGAAATATTCCATATCTGCGTGGTAGGTGATGAATAGAGTAGCAGTAAAGCTGGATCCTTGAGGACCACCTCTCATTATTTCAAACCACCTAGATTTGACACCCGCGATCTCAATGACAGCGCGCCTTTTTATTAACCAAGCATGTATCCAATTAACATATGGAATCGGAATTCCTTGTCTTTTTAATTTGCCTATACATCCTTTGAACCAAAGTTGATCAAAGGCTAATTTGTAGTCCACATGTATTGTTGCTACCGGTGAACTATTAGATATATGTCAGCTCTCCTATCCTTCGGTGAGTCTAAATAATGGGAAAACTCTAGAAACTAGGTCTACCCAGGACCGTCAGTAGATGATATCACTCAACGAGGAGATAAGAGGGACCACAGTAAAAAATACCT